TGACTGAAGTTGAAATTCACTGAAATTCACTGAGGAAAACCGAACAAAGGGTTGAGAACCAGGCACAGAGTCAACAGTAAGTGTGTCAATGTCACTGGCTGCCATCTGGTCGCCTATATGGTGCACATTCAAATTCAATCAGTCTGAATTTCCATGTAACCGATACACACCCCCTGCATGGTCCCTGCCGGCTGTCAACATCCCTCCTGGGAGAATTTAATTGTGTTTCCGCTAATGTTGTGCAGAGTCAAAATGTAGTTCTGAACCGGGCTAAATACATTAAGGACACAGAAGCAATGGTGATGTATCACACCTGATACAGTCCAATAATCCATTTAAATTGGCCACAGCTGTGAAGCACAAGTGCCAGAAACCCTGTGCTGACATTGGCCATTAATTATTTTGCAACAGAACATTGAAAAATAGCAATGTTATGCGAATAACCGTATGCATAATTCCTAAACAATCAGTTAATAGCTTACAATAAAAATAAACAAAGTGTAATGACAATTTGCAATCATATCTTATAACAAGTAGGCTCTATATAAAAAAAGTGCTTTTCAAACACCATTTATTTCTATGCCAACAGATGTTACAGAAATCTAATTTTGAATATTATGCGAATAACCGTATGCATAATTCCTAAACAATCAGTTAATAGCTTACAATAAAAATAAACAAAGTGTAATGACAATTTGCAATCATATCTTATAACAAGTAGGCTCTATATAAAAAAAAGTGCTTTTCAAACACCATTTATTTCTATGCCAACAGATGTTACAGAAATCTAATTTTGAATGATGACAGATCAACATTCTCATGACAATGTCATAGGCGCACTGACATAACTTGCACACATCACTATTTTGATGAATATTTATATCATTAAAATTGTATTAAAAATTAAATGACAATGTGCATTATAATTCTTATTTTTAATGTCTAAAAATATTTTTTTAATTCGAATATAAACATAGCTTTAATGTGAAATATCCAATGAAATATGTCCTAGAAAACATTGGGTAACTAACGTGCATTTACATTTATTAAAACATAGACCGTATGTACCGGTATTACCTGTTCAGGAGCAATGAGGGCTTCAGTTCCTTCTGCTTTGGCCCACAAACATGCCACAACGCGACGCGTACAGAGTCACAATACTGGCGGTGCTGGACGCTCTGGCAACAGCGTCCGATGTCGCGTGGACAAACCACAAAATAAACAAATGAAGAGCAATTGAATCCACTAGCTTTTAACGTAAGCAACAAGCCTAGAAATACAGTTTACTCTATTTTTGCTGAGATGCACAGAAAACTACACGAGTTCCTCTATCTATGTGACTACGGTGCACAAATACATTCGCTCGTATCGTCCGTCATACAACAGCTCCGCCGCTGCGCGTGCAGGTCTCAATAGCAGTAGTGAACAGCTGAGGGGTGTGAACAGCTTTTAGAGGAGGAGGAAAGAGAGGCGGAGCGCTGCTGCTGTTTAGGAGAATATGGGAGGAGATAGACTGATGAACTGGCGTGAAAAGAGATCAGGAGATTGTGGTGGGGCTCATTAATAGAGTAATAACAAGGGCCTTTTATTAGGCTGCCTGCATATCACCAAGGGATTTGTGTGTATGAAAGTGTTGAAAGTCTCTGTATACACTGTATACTTTGCATATGACGGACCGTTTAGGAAGCGCTGCTTTAAGAGTCATCTTACTCAACAGCAACTTCAGTGGCAATGCTGTGCATTCAAGTGAAAGTCATTTTAATAATTTAGTCTATAAATTGTACTTCGAGTCCAGCCTAAACTTCGTTCCTCATTAGCTGAGATACACTACCATGCACTCGTTGGTTAGAATGTTCAGAGCTAGTATTGAATTTGAATTCACGGAACAATGTCGCCCCCTGCTGAACAAAAGTTTTCTGCATCATTCCTGTAAATGCCCTTGAAGTTGATTTAAATTTCTTCATTTTGAATAAAAATGTCACGATTTTTCTTGGATCTTGTGCAGTAATGTGGTAGACTAAAGTATGTGGTTATTGTGGCCCTGGTATGCTTCTTTTCTAAATCTGTGGAGCTATAAAATGTATGTGGACTATACCGTCTGTTGTCGGGCTCCGTGTGCAGACAAAAATCTCAAAAAATCTCACCCATTATTTCAATTAATGGCAAAATTAATGTTCTGAAATGTAAACTGACAGTCTAATGTCACTGTCTGTGAGATATGTTTTTTTGCATTAGCATGGAACACAAGTAAACGCAACCTAGCGGACGCCACACACACACACACGTCTGGTGCACTATCCTTGTAGGAACTCCCCATAGGCGTAATGGTTTTTATACTGTACAAACTGTATTTTCTATCGCCACACCAACCATACACCGAAACCTATCCCTTGCAGAATACTTTGTGCATTTTTACAATCTCCAAAAAAAAAAAAATATTTCTGTATGATTTATAAGCTTTTGTACCTCAATTTAGGTCCCCATGAGTTGGTGTGTATAATCAGGTTTAAGTCACCCCCAGTGTAGAAAAAACTGTACACACACACACACACACACACACACACACACCAGTCAGTAGCTCTGTAACTGGTATGCGTTTCTCGAAAGCATTTCTGTCAGGACCACTATCGTCAAAGATGATTGACAATTAGCTTACAGTTTGGATTGGCGGTATGGTTCTGTTCTGGGCAAGAACTCCCTGCGCATCCATGCAACATAGCATGGATGAGAGCAGGGAGAGCGGCAATAACCCCCAGGGTAAACAGAACAGAACCAACATAAATGTATTGCAGATATTTATGTTGAGAATGAGTTTGAGAATGAGTTCAACTCAGAATTCGTTTTTTTTCACTACATCATCCAACATTGTACTGCAAACTACCTCTCTGACAGTTTAATTAAAGACTGTTCTCTGAGCTCTTTGTCACTTTAACAGACTGATAAGCTCTTTTGCACTACACTGGTTGTATCTTCACAGTTGTTTATATCACTGGTTTGCACTATAACTGCCATGTGCCTTATGCCACTTTTTCTCTTTTTTTACAATGTCCTTATTTGTATATTGTATAGGTTGTATTTTATATATATTTAAACTGTATTTCTGTATTATGTCTACTGTTAGTGTTAAGTGTTAACTGTATGCAACAAGGGTCTGAGAGTAACGGAATTTCAATTCTCTGTATGTATGTGCATGTGGCAGAATTGACAATAAAGCAGACTTTGACTTTGACTTTGATATTGTTAAAGTTCAATAATTTTATGTACACATTTCAGAATTAGTCTGATTCAAAGAAGAATCAGAAGGCTGAATCCCGACTGACAGAGGAGGAGTTGGGGATGGAGGAGGGTAATTAGCTATTGAGCCGGGCTGGATTGGTAATCGGGCATACTGGGCATTTTCCCGGTGGGCTGACGCACTTAAGGGGCCGACAGATTTTTATTAATTTTTTTGCCAAGGACCATCACGCAGGGACAGCGAGCAGCCAGTGGCCCATTGGTTTGTCTCCTGTATAGACAGCGTAAACCATCCAATCACAATGCGCTATAATATTGTTAAAGTTCAATAATTTTATGTACACATTTCAGAATTAGTCTGATTCAAAGAAGAATCAGAAGGCTGAATCCCGACTGACAGAGGAGGAGTTGGGGATGGAGGAGGGTAATTAGCTATTGAGCCGGGCTGGATTGGTAATCGGGCATACTGGGCATTTTCCCGGTGGGCTGACGCACTTAAGGGGCCGACAGATTTTTATTAATTTTTTTGCCAAGGACCATCACGCAGGGACAGCGAGCAGCCAGTGGCCCATTGGTTTGTCTCCTGTATAGACAGCGTAAACCATCCAATCACAATGCGCTATAGACAGAGCGATGAAGTATTTTGCTCCGCCTAGGCCTATATAAAGATCGCATCACCCCAACTTCTTCCTCATCGGCTTTTTCCACATTTTCACAGCAGATTATCAAGAACAGGGCTGCGTTCAGCCCCGACAAAAACAGTGCAAAACGTTTTTTAAACGGAAACGGTGGTGTGTTGAACACTGTTCTGAAGACGCAAGAGTTGCAGCTATGGCAGCTGAGAAGGCCATTCTTTGTGTTCTTTTTGAAGAATTTTCGGAGCCTGATGAAATCAGTATAAATATGTGTTTAATACTGCAAAATACGCTCGATGTCACAGTCACTGCCCTTGCCCTCCAGAATAAAAGAGAACATCCCAAACAAATTAAGGGATTTGTGGAAACTGTGGTTCCTAATTATTGTGATCCAACATTTGCCTCGCATTTCAGGATGAAAAGACAAACATTTCAGGTGAAGGATAATCCACTTCTGATCTATATGACCTTATTATTTTTATTGTGAGTATTAGGCTTATCATTATTGCTGATCACTGTTGTTGTGCTATGATATTGTAATATTTAACATTATATAATCGGAGGAATATAGAAAAGTTTATGAAAGTGTCACTCCACAATACAATAGCAAAATATATAAACATGTATAATTTTTATGTTACATTAATCAGTGTCTAGCACACCTTCCTAAGGAAAGGATAAATAAATCTAAATTTAAATTAAAAAAGACATGATATTGTTGGACCTGACGTTTTATTCTTATCCAAAACAACTAGATGTGATATGAGTGTGATACATACATGCACTACCAGTCAAAAGTTTTTGAACAGTAATATTTATTTATGTTTTTTAAAGAAGTCTTTTCTCACCAAACCTGCATTTATTTGATCCAAAATACAGCAAAAGCAGTAATATTTTTTTTTTTTTACTATTTAAAACAGCTGCTTTAAAATGTCATTTATTTCTGTGATGTGATTTGTTTCAGCATCATTACTCCAGTCTTCAGTGTCACATGATCTTCAGAAATCATTTTAATATACTGATTTGTTGTTCAAGAAACATTTATTATTATTATTATCAAAATTTAAAACAGTTGAGTACATTTTTTTCGGGATTCTTTGATGAATAGAAAGATCAAAAGATCAGCATTTATCTGAAATAAAAAGCTTTTGTAACATTATACACTATTCCATTCAAAAGCTTGGAGTCAGTAGAATTTTTTTTTTTGGGAAGAAATTAATACTTTTATTTAGCAAGGATGCTTTAAATTGATCAAAAGTGATGATAAAGACATTCATAATGTTACAAAAGATTTCCATTTCAGATAAATGCTGTTCTATTCATCATCTGAAAAATTCTACTCAGCTGTTTTCAACATAATAAAAATAATAGATGTATTTTCTTTGTTTTTTTGCAGCAAATCAGAATATTAGAATGATTTCTGAAGGATCATGTGAGTTGAGTAATGATGCTAAAAATTCAGCTTTGAAATCACAGGAATAAATTGCATTTTAAAATATATTCAAATAGAAAACTGTTATTTTAAATAGTAAAAATATTTCACAATATTACTGCTTTTGCTGTATTTTGGATCAAATAAATGCAGGCTTGGTGAGCAGAAGAGACATCTTTAAAAAGCATTAAAAATCTTACTGTTCAAAATCTTTTGACTGGTAGTGTATAGGCCTATCATATATTCATATATATATATATATATATATAAATGGTGGTGGGCCGCCTGGACCAAAAAATGCCTGGGCCGATTTTTTGTCCCAGTCCAGCCCTGCTATTGAACAATGCGAAAACTGCTAATAATACTGAGGGACCTTATACAGTATATGAATGCTTAGATAGGTGTCGTATTCCCATAGGTAGATGGGGATCAGCTGATGCAAGCTTGACTAACGTGACCTGCCAGAACTAACGCTACACTTGATATTTAGCTGTAGAAATCATTGGCTCCAATGTTCTATAAGATCTACTTAGCCTTCTGATGCTTCTAACCCAGCTCTGGGTAGGCTTGATATAATTTACAGCGTTCAGTGCAGCTCTTCTCGTAATTCTTAAAAAGGGACCGTTCACTTGAATATTAAAATCCAGTCCTTTCCTCACCCTGGTGTTGCTGTAATGTGCCCTTTCTTTCTTTGTCGAACAAGACCAAGCAAGACATTTTAATTTCTCCTTTTGTGGTCTAAAAATGTATAGACTGAATTTGAGTACGAGGTATGAGGCGTTTCTAATTTTATGGGTGTTTTCACCTGCAGGGCTTTAAATAGTAGCCTATACACTATTTGTGCTGATTTTGTGCTACTCATTTTCTTTCTATTGTAATTTCACATTAGAAAACAGTACATCGATTATATCTAGTTTTTCACAACAACAAATAATGCTTTGCAAAAAGTAAGGGGACTAAGTACACAGTAGGCTACTATTACAATTATAATTACATTATGCAATATTACATAGTAGGGGAGAGCAGGGTGATTTGACCCCTTCTTATGATTATAAAGTATTATTTTACTGTAATGTAACTACATTATATTTCAATAATTTTACACCAAACATAATTCTGGCCCAACTCACCCCGCTCGCTCGCCCCTAGTATTCCAGAAATATGGCTTTTGCTATTTCAAATGGTTTTATTACGTGACATGTTTGAAATATATGCAGTCTGCTCCCTGTTATGATAGTAAGGCTGTGTTGAACCCTGAAACAATTGTTCAGCTCATATCGCCTAGGCCATTTGTTTTGCAAGTTATCTAGGGGTTGACCTTCACTGTCCTTGGGACAAATCAACAGATAAAGGGATGAGGTTTTGTAATCACAATCTGTGCAATTCACTTAAGACTTTGAGGGGGTGTGACGGCTCGGTAGGTCCCATGACTTGAGTTGAGGTAAACGCCGCCCCAGAGGTCAGAGCACATCTACACTCATCCGTTCGGACTTGAAGCAGAAGTCAGCTGACCGCAGCTCAACACAGCCATGTACTGTCTGGTCAAATTTGCGCCGCTGTTTTTGGCGGTAGCCGTTTGCAATGGCTGGCTCTTCGGCGACTTTGTAGGAAAACGGAGCGAGCTGGATGAAATCTCTCTCTGGCCGCTACCGCAGAAGTTTCAGTCGTCCGCCGTCGCTTTTAAACTCAGCCCCGCCAGGTTTCAGATCGTCCAAGCGAAACAGTCCTCCGCCGGACCGAGCTGCAGCATACTCGAGAATGCGTTTCGCAGGTAGGCTACTAACTGTACAATCCCTTATTCATATTTATGTCGGTATTGTGTTATAAAAGAGGCTAACGTTTAGCTTTAACAGGAAGTACAGTGTGCTCCGTGCAGAATCCACTTGGCTTCAATTGACCTTTGCTTTGCAGATATTTTGAATACATATTTGGTGACCTGAAGAAGCCCGAGAAGAGCCGAAAGAAAGTGTATGATTCAGATCTCGTGGAGCTTCAGGTATGGGTCACATCAGCTGATCCGGAGTGCGACGGTTTCCCGAGTCTGCAAACCGACGAGTCATGTGAGTTTTTCCCTTCCGCCTCTGTGCTCCACTGCGCCGTAACCTCAATGCTCTCTAATCCAATGAACGATCGGCAAAGCCAATAATTGACATCTGCCTCTCGGAGGTGTAATCGGTTTAACGTATTAACGTGATTCTAGAGCTCCTTTTAGATGTAGTAACATTTGACTCATGCAAAGAGTTTTCTACCTAATATTTCATAGAAACTGCATTATGAAAGTCAGTCACTTCTAGCTCCTTCAATCAGATGTATTGAGATTGAGCCTGTGAATTCTTTGGTTGTGTGTGAATTGCGTAAAGTTTAGCTCTCTTTGTGTAGATGAGCTGTCCGTTGATGAACCCTCTGCTGTGCTGAAAGCTGCTAATGTATGGGGAGCTTTGCGAGGTAAGCAAAGGCAGTAAACAAGCTCACATTTATATTTCCCTTTTGAACATACACTACCATGCAAAAGTCTATTGTAATATATTTTAAAATAATAATAAAAAAAACATTCAAATAAAAACAGCTATTTTTTAAATTAGAACAATATTTCACAATGTTACTGTTTTTACTGTATTAGATAGAAACGGTCCTTTCCTAAGAATGTAGAGTGTTGTTTCAAAGCTGGATTTTGTGTTATCCTGCCTTAAGAGAAGAGATTGCAGTATTTATCATGTCCATATATTGTTACAACATGCTGTCCTAACTCATGATTTCATTAATGTGTAACATCCTCATATTGTTGTAAGGACTGGAAACATTCAGTCAGCTGGTCTATGAGGATGACTATGGAGTCGTAAGTTTGAAACAGACCCTTACTTTGAATGATTGTACTTAATTAAGGCTTTAAATGTTAATACATTCCATCAATGTATCTATTTAAGCTCTTCTAAAAATCAAAACACAAATTTTTTCTTCTCAACAGAACAACATCAATAAGACAGACATCTCAGATTTCCCACGGTTTGCCCATCGGGGGATCCTCCTGGACTCGTCTCGCCACTTCCTGCCACTCAAAGTCATTTTGGCCAATTTGGTGAGCTGAAATCATTTGTTTTATAACGACAGGCTTTACTAAAACACATGCATAGGTCTAGAGTGGCGTTTTTATATTGGAAAATAGGCCATGATTAATTGATTTATTTTTCTCATTAATGCTCAGTTTCCTTATTAGAAGACTTGTGTCAGCTAAATAACTCAAGGAACTTATTTTACTAATGAGACTGGAAAGTCAAGTTTGTTATGTTCGTAGATGACAGTAATCACAAGACAAAATGACGCTCATCACAAGGTTTGTCTGGAAAAAATTGCAGTCAGTGAACAGTGGTGATATAAAGTTTTGACCGAGAATTAAACTCGAGTCGCAAGGACATATGTTGTTGTTGTTGGTTTTGAAATGCTTCTCATCCCACAACGTTCAATAATAAAATGTCTAATTTTGACAGGAAGCTATGGCGATGAACAAGTTTAATGTATTTCACTGGCACATTGTGGACGATCATTCGTTTCCTTACATGAGCCGTACCTTCCCCGAGTTAAGTCAGAAGGTGAGTATGTGATGCACTTGACTTTGTTTTAGATTCAAGCTATTCAGAACATGAAATATATTGTAGATTTCAAACAGGTTGTTAGTGGATTACCATGCTAGAATTATATTATCACTAAGGGTGATGGCCAACGCCATGTAAACAGGAGAACACAAGTAGGCGCATCAAGCTATAATTACACTGCAACAAATTGCAGGTTTTTTGAAAGACTTGCTTTTAAAAATAGTTCCTTTTTCTCATATATTCTTTTGTATTTGCTACATTGGAAGCGAAAGGTACTGCTGTGCTGTAGGACATGTCAGTTCTTGTGTAATTTCCTTTAGTGTAGAAATTTCACTTGCCACTTCTGAAATCTAACTGGGAAAGTGTTTATCATTGTGTATTGATCATGTTTTTCCTATTTGTTTTGTGATTGACAGGGAGCCTATCACCCATTCACGCATGTGTACACTCCATCCGACGTGAAGATGGTCATCGAGTTCGCTCGCATGAGGGGGATCCGCGTCATCCCGGAGTTTGACACCCCAGGACACACAGAGTCATGGGGCAATGGTCAGTTGATGGACTTGCTACATGACAGCTTTATATAGATTGTTTTGTTTAGTCATATTTAAGACTGGAATACACTGCACAACTTTTAAAATCTGAACAGATTTTAAAATACTAGGCGTCATGCACTACTGATGACATTTAGTCGAAACAAACACACAACAAACTCACACAGAAATGTGTCTTATTGCTAGGAGACAAATATAAAGTCGTCGTGTAGTGTATTCTAGCCTTAAGTCATGTTTTGTTGGTTTCAGCAGTTCACATTTAAACTGCAGTTACTGATTAATGTGACATATGTTTTCTCTCTCTGTCGCTCTCACTTAGGCATAAAGGATCTGCTAACACCTTGTTACAGTGACTCTAGTCCTTCAGGAGCATTTGGGCCGGTGAACCCCATCTTAAACTCCTCTTATGACTTCATGACACAGTTTTTTAAAGAGATCAGCACAGTCTTCCCTGATGCCTACATACACCTGGGGGGAGACGAGGTTGACTTCAGTTGCTGGTAGGGCTGGGCGATATAGCTAAAAAATGTATCAACGATATAATGTTTTATGTTGTTCGGTATTGATTATTATTGACATTTTTTATAACCTTTTTTAAAACAAAGAGCAATTTTTTTTATTTTTTTTTATTTAACCACTGTATTTTGAAATTAACCCAATTTATTCAAACAAACAACAATATTTTTTGTTTTATCAATCAAACACATAATAAAAATTAAACAAATATCTCATTTCTAATGTTTTATATGCAGATTAAATAGGTCTTAAAGGGTTAGTTCACCCAAAAATGAAAATTAGCTTGTGTTTTACTCACCCTCGAAGTAGGGCTGGACGATATGGCCAAAATTGATATCACGATATATTTCTTAATTTCGGTCGATACGATATAAGTCCGATATCGATATGAACACTATTTATCTGAAATAGAAATCTTTTGTAACATTATAAATGCCTTTATCATCACTTTTGATCAATTTTAAGCATCCTTGCTAAATAAAAGTATTAATTTCTATAATTTCTTTCCCAAAAAATAAGAAAAATTATACTGAATGGAATAGTTTATAATGTTACAAAAGCTTTTTATTTCAGATAAATGCTGATCTTTGGATCTTTCTATTCATCAAAGAATCCTGAAAAAAAAATACTGTTTAACTGTTTTAAATATTGATAATCAGCAAATCAGC